CGGGAGCCCGATGTGGGACTCGATCCCAGGACCCTGGGATCATGACCTGAGCCGAAGGCAGACGCTTAACCATCTGAGCCACCCAGGCGCCCGAAAAATGGAAATATTAATTTGCTAGCATGAATTTACCATTCAGCTTTATATCCTGCCTTACTAGTTTTGAACGCAAATGTGAGTATTTAACTCCAGTGTGGAATCACTGGAGCTCGTGCCTGCATAGGTAGTTCATTTTCACCGGAATCGGGGGAACCCTGCACAAAAAACTCTACTGATTTTACTTCACTTCTTGATACATGTACTTTCTCCCCCCCCCCATTTTTATTTAAATTCTAGTTAGTTAACATGCAGTGCAATGTTGGTTTCAGGAGTAGAACTCAGTGATTCATCACTTACATACAACACCCGGTGTTCATCACAAGTGCCCTCCTTAATGCCCATCCCCCATCTCCCATCCCCCACCTCCCTCCCTCCATCAACCCTCAGTTTGTTCTGGGCCATTAAGAGTCTCTTACGGTTTTGTTTCCCTCTTTCTTTTTTCTTTTTTATCCCCCTCCCATATGTTCATCTGTTTTGTTTCTTAAATTCCACATATGAGTGAAATCATATGGTATTTGCCTTTCTGTGACTGACTTATTTCACTTAGCATAATACATTCTAATTCCACCCATATATATACCCAATGGACTATTACTCAGCCATCAGAAACAATGAAATCTTGCCATTCACAACAACGTGAGTGCATGCACTTTCTATCAACGTTCTGTATCTTCCACTTCCTGGTGAGTAAGGAAAGACGGAAAAGGAAAGGAACTGTGGGTAGTCTTCCCTTTCCCTTTCCCTCCGTGCCATCATTTTCAATATAAGTGGTTGGCTAGTAAAATACTGAGGCATAACCTGAGTAGGAAAGGATATAGGAATCCTCCTTTGTGTTTCTTAGAGCACCATTGCCTTCTTTCTGTATTTGAAGCAAGTTTTGGTTTGAAAAAAGCATGGCCTCTCTACCCCAACCCTGACTCAGTTACAGATGTACCTTTCCCTGTGCTCACTCTGAGTCTCACCAAACTCCCACACATTGGGAGTCTACCAGAGTTTATGTCTCTAATACTACACGTGTCAATGGAAAGGCAAAGAATCGCAAACACATCTTGTGTGTGTATCTCTTCTGGTCCTGTGCATGCCCCATTGTTCCTTTGGACTTTGCTTACAAAACACAAATTCAAAGATAAAATTGTTAGGAATTTTAAGACCACTACAGCTGAAATTCTATACTTCTGAGTACCAGATTCTGTGCAAATGCAGAGGATGCAAGCTGGTAAAGCCGGACCTGCCTAACACAGTTGTCCTGGTTATACCTGATTCTCTTCCTTCTTCTTTTTCTCCATCACCCACCTTCACATCCAGCAGCAACTGGAGAGGGGAGGAAGAGTGAAATAACAGGTTACCGTGGGCTGCTGAAGCATGATGAGTTAGACTGTGGTCCTCCCCAAAGAGACTGATGACCTCCTATCTCATCCCCATCAAGGCCTGATTCACCCTTGCTGTCACCGAGTACTGAAACCTCCTGCCCTGAGTTGGGAAACTTGCTGATCTGTATGACGTTCATTTCAAGTTGTTCAGTGGTACAAACTCTCGCTCCTGAATCACTTATGTCTTTTTTCCCTAAGTAATTAACAATTTTCACATGAAGTTTCTCTGTCTCTGTATGTCTGTCTCTCTCTCTCTCTAGAGTGATCATTTATAATCTCACCATTCACATGTAATGACAGAGTACTTTTGGTTTATATGCTTTGGCCTTTTTCTATTTATATGAACTATGTTTTTTAAATCAAAATAAGCCTGATTATATAAACTCCTTTGTAACTTACTTTTTTACTTAACATTGTATTATGAATTTATTCTCAAATCAATAAATACATATCAAATCATCCTTTCTAACACTTAAAATATTTCATTTTATTGATAAGTCAAAATTTATTTAGCCAGTCCCTTATTGATGGGCAAATAGGTTCGTTAGGATATTTGGTTATTACAAATAGTTCTCCAGCATACATCCTTTTATGTGTGTCTATTATTGCTATTATTATCATCATTTGATTATTACCTTTTGTTGAAACCTAGAACTGAAATTGCTGGGTGATGTATAACTCTTAATTGTCAAATTTTAACTTGTATAACAACCTCTTAGAAGTTACAGTTGTTAGTAAAATATTAAGATAAATGAGAACCCATGTTTTTGACCTGCCATCATTTCCATAAAACCTTTCCTACAGCAGTGATCCTTATATCCACTTGGCTTCAGAAGCCCTTCCAGTGCATGAACATTGGTTTTATCCTTTAGACGGCCCAACAGCTTCTGACTTCCCACTTACTATGGTCTGGCAATGTACCACTGAAAACCAGTTAAAGCCTACGGAGATTCAAACAGCTGACCCGGAATTTGAAGCTGTGGTTTAGATCCATGTTCATTCTTTTTTTTTTGTATAAAATGCTTGCATTGTATTTTTCAGATGTATTTCAATTTTTTTTGTGGAGTTCCAGACATACTTCACTCAGGATTATGCACAAACGGCTTGGATCCATTCCATTGTAGATTGTGTGACCATGCTCTGTGGTGAGTATCACTTACCAGGGATAGACTGGTTACTCTTGAACTGTACATGACAATGACCTTCCACTGCTTTTGCTTACCAGTTTTTTTCTGAGTAGGAAGGCTTTGCTAAAAATTGGCTAAGACTATTGCTTCTCAGCCTTTTGGCTAAGATCAAGTATAAAAATTGGCTAAGACTATATAAAAAGAAAAGACCAATCCTACTTTTAGCCAAACCCAACCAGACATGCTCTTGGAATTAATGGTCTTGGCTGATGGCAGATGGAACAGGTAGTTAATACTCCCAAAAAGACATATATTATTTGGTTCTCCCATAATGAGATAGGGTGTTGGGCATCACAGGACTCCTCCTGATTTGGGAAGCAGTTAACCATACAGTATATGCTTGGCTTCCCTCTTCTAAATGCTATGGTCCCCTCATTCTCCAGTCATGTAAACAGTCATTGGATAGCACTGTGAGCCATTTCTATGCAGTCTCCTTAAACGAGTGCCAACAATATGTGCATCACATCTCAAGGCTTGTTTTCATTCTGTTCCCTTCCCAAAGGTTCAAAATTGGGCTCATGGATTTCATTTTTCATGCATAAACCTTCATTCTTAGAAAAGTATGAGGGAAGGTAGAATGGTGCAGTCATGAGAGAAGCACACTCACCATGGTTATAATTTCATTCAAGAAACCCCAAGGGTACAAATAGGGTGTATAGAGTAGTCTCAAAACTCATGGAATCTCTCAATCCCCCTACATAATAGAGGATAACTAACCTTGAGATTTTTCTTTTTGAACATTTTATTCTTTTTTTTTTTTTTTTAGATTTTATTTATTTGCGAGAGAGAGAATGAGAGAGAGAGAGCATGAGAGGGAGGAGGGTCAGAGGGAGAAGCAGACTCCCTGCTCAGCAGGGAGCCCGATGCGGGACTTGATCCTGGGACTCCAGGATCATGACCTGAGCCAAAGGCAGGCGCTTAACCGACTGAGCCACCCAGGCGCCCTCTTTTTGAACATTTTAAACCAATGTTATTATATTAATGTCTTAGAGAGTTTCTGAGATTGGGATCCAGTTGAAATGATCTATATGCAGTCTAGGCCCATTTAATCATTTCATTTAGATGAATCCTTAGTATTAAAAAAAAACACTGTTATCTCTTCAGGCCATGTCTTGGTGGCAGAAGGGAAATACTATATTATTCAATAACTCATAAATAAATCAACTGATTCCATTCTAGGTACTGATTCATATTTATTTTTAGAAAAATGTACATACTCAGGAATCAGTTGAATTGCACTGAAATGTATTTCCTTTGTTGGGAGGAATTTGAGAGCAAGTCTAGGACTAAAAGCAGGTTTCATGAGAAGGCTAAGTTGACTCTGGCTACTGATAACACTGGAAGGTCTTAAGGGATTTTTTTTTTTTTAATCAGTTAGACAGTCACTTTGTTTTCAGGGTCACATTATTAGTCACAGCCTTTGTATGAACATGCCAAGTGGGTGAGCCATGTTTATCTTTCTCAGAGGACACAGGTGACTCATTTCCCTCACTGTTATCTTTTGGAGAATATTTATAATCCCCAGAAGAGGAATAAATGGCCTTTGGTGACCAACATGATCACAGTGACTGTGTGTTAAAGCAGGGTCATGTTAGATGTAGCATTTTTAAATTCAAGGACTTGAGGCCATGCGAGGGGTCAGGCCTGTTGTATCCAATTATCCTGTACCCACTTGCTCACCTGGCAACATTAGTTGAGTTCAGGAGATAGACAAAAGCCAGCAGAGTCATATATAGGACACTCACTGGAGGCACTTTGCCCTCTGATAAACAGAGAAGTAAACATTTTTCACTGAGGGCGCCAGAGTGGCTCAGTTGGTTAAGCGACTGCCTTCGGCTCAGGTCATGATCCTGGAGTCCCGGGATCGAGTCCCGCATCGGGCTCCCTGCTCGGCAGGGAGTCTGCTTCTCCCTCTGACCCTCCCGACCTCCCCCCTCTCATGCTCTCTCTCTGTCTCTCTCAAATAAATAAATAAAATCTTTAAAAAAAAAACAAAGACAAAAAAAACATTTTTCATTGAGTTTGGTCTAAATTTTGTCACTTTCCAATAGAATTATATATATTCTCAGGAGGTTCGCTCCTTCCTGTTTTCCAGAGGTTATACATACAGCCAGCCACTGTGTTAACTAGACAGGAGACATCAGGCTGATGACTGGTTCCATCATGTACATTTGAGTCAGGCCCCAGTTTCAACCTGATCAATACAAAATTATACTCCACGGATACCCAAAGAACTTGCTCTTCTGATCTTGTTACTAGGAGTACTGCTATCAGCATGTTCCATTGAAAGAATTCACATACTTTCCCCACCCACCTCCCCTGCCATCAGTCTGGGAGGCCCAAGGAGACAGAGTAAGAGGGTGAAATAGCGCTGCACTTGGTGTCAAGTGCCCCAAGCGGTACTTCTTGGTGATCTTGGACATGCCATATTCCCCTGAACTTCAGTTTCTCCTCAGTATGTCCCAGCTTTAATTAATATTCTATAAGCCTGGCAGTCGGCACAGTTCTGACACATTGTTAAACCACAAGCAGAGTGAGGCCAACCAAAATATCACCATGGACGGGAAACATTTGTTTTGATTTCTCATCCACAGGGTTTCCTAAAGTCTGAAACCAGTACCAGATTGTGAAATTTGTCTGTGGTCTCTTTCCCTGGCCTTTCCTGCATAAAGCTGCTGGCCACACAGGGTTGCCCACTTTGCTTCCCCACCAGCCAACTGTCATAATTATTGCTAATGGTGCATGATCAATACCATATAAAACATACAAGGCACATCCCGGTGCAAGTGATAAGTAATTTAAATAAGGAGCTGATTCACTGTTTAAAAAGCACCCTAGAGCCCTGGGATTATGACTGTAATAGAATGGAGAAGGGGGAGGGGCAGTGAAATGCAAGTCAGCAGACTCGATCCTAATTCCAGCTTTGCTACCTGTTCTCTGTGTGACCGTGGGCAAGTCGTTTCCTCTCTCCTCAGTTTCCAAATGTGTAGAGTGAGCAGGACAGGCTTGTTGCTGTAAAGGCCCATCCTTCTCAGCTCTGCCAATGCAGCAGCATAGTTTTTTTCACAGTGCCCTCAAGGTGTTTCTGTTGAACCTATTTATTATTGCTTTTGAAGCTCCTCTTGGGAGTGTTGTCAGTAACCACTTATCCTGTCAAGTGGGAATCATGCTGGGTGGCTTGCTTGCATCTACTGGTCTCATCCTGGGCTCATTTGCCACCAGTCTGAAGCATCTCTACCTCACTCTGGGAGTTCTTACAGGTAAGGACACTTTGTACCCCTTGTCTCACCCCACCCCATTCAGGTTTTGTCAAACACATCAACAGAATCATAATCCATAAAATATTCACCTCATTAGATGAATCATTTAGCTGACCCAGCTTATGCCTACCTACCTAGCAGTTAAAAGAGCTGGAAATACAATTGATTGTACTGCTGTAATAAAAATGTATCACTGCTTGAATTCGGCCGCAGGATAGAAGTAACTGCTAGCTTTCCCTTCGGCAGCTGTGCATGGCTGAGATTCTGTACTCAGAAGCAATGAGGTAGTAGTCAGGGCAACATATATTTTCAGCAGTGATCATTCTCCCAACATCTTTGCCAAGACATAAAAATACTATCTGTGGTCAACCTGAGTTGCCCCTGCTTTATAGTGACGATCACTGTCCAATAAATGGGGGTTTATAATTTTAAAAAGCCAGCCCCTTATTGTGAATATTCTTGTGTTGTACATTCTCTCAATGTTATGGAAGTATACTTTAGAGAATTATAATGAACCCTGTGGGAAGAGAAGTAATCTATGTGCATTCCATAAATCACACCCTAAGGGGACTTCTTAGCATCAAGGTGGGATCGGTTGGTGGCAATGGAGTGGCAATTTGCCCCATCACTCAGAGGGATGTGGAGTAGTGCTAACCTGCGGTCTGGGCACCGTGCCATAGGGGTAGCATGATCTGGCCAATAAAGAACATAATCTCGTAGTGGTTTTATAAATCTGGCTCCGCTAGCTAAGAAAAGGTATCTGTCCCATATAACCCAAAGGGTCCAAATGCTAGGATGTGTCCAGTCATCGCAGTTTACCAAGAAGCGCCCTGGTCTTAGCACTGAAAATCTCTCATCTGGGAAACTTATCTGTCCAGGCAAATCAGGATCATTGGTCACCCTACAGTATGGATGGAAACAGGAGCTGACGGTGGTTCTGTTTTTCCCTTTAGATGCCATGAATCCCAGGTTTTACACCCTTTAGATTTTCTTGACTTAAAAGGAATAGAAGCTGAAAATCTTTAAGAGGCTCTCTGCTGACTTTAAGGCATATTTTCAGGTTACTTTGTGTATATGCTATGTTCATGTATAAAGTTGGCACGGAGTTTCCCAATTATGTGAAATTACCCTGGAACTTTCATGGGGCCATATATGCTATTTAAACCCAAATTCCAGAGTGGTCCAGATGATCAGAGTTGTGTTTTCATAGGCAGTGAAGGGTTGAGGTAATTCTCTGGATAATTTAAGATAAAAAGAGGTGTTGGTGGGAAGAGTAAGTTTCTTAGGTCAGCGTTATCCTGATTTTCTAGCTAATTCAAATTCAGTTTGTGTAATAATTTTTAAGTTCTTCATTTCATTTTAAGAAGTCATATTTTTTAAGGGTTTCTTCCCAAGAAGGAAGTCATATATATGCTATATTTTCCCAACTGTGGATGACTGGTTGGGGGAGACTCATCTTCAGCTTGGGGTAGAAAATAGTTTTAAAAGGGTTTGACAGACGGCCAGATTCTCCTTCATCCGAATAACTGAGATGTTTTCTTTCACCGGCTGTTCACGGAGTACCAGCACTCATAGACTTCTCTCTATCCTCCAGGCCTTGGGTTTGCACTGTGTTACTCCCCAGCGATTGCAATGGTCGGCAAGTATTTTAGCAGACGGAAAGCCCTGGCTTATGGGATCGCCATGTCCGGAAGCGGCATTGGCACCTTCATTCTGGCTCCTGTGGTTCAGCTCCTTATTGAACAGTTTTCCTGGCGGGGAGCCTTACTCATCCTCGGGGGCTTCGTTCTGAATCTCTGTGTTTGCGGTGCCTTGATGCGGCCTATTACTCTGAAAGAGGACCAGACAACCCCAGAGCAGAACCACATCGGTAGAACTCAGAAACAAGACTTTAAGCGAGTGTCTCCCTGCTCCACTTTGACTAAAAAATGGGTGCATACCTGCCTCGGTTGCTCTTTGCAGCAGGAATACAGCTTTTTACTGATGTCGGACTTCGTCGTGTTAGCCATCTCTGTTCTCTTTATGGCTTATGGCTGCAGTCCCCTCTTTGTGTACTTGGTACCTTATGCTCTGAGTGTCGGAGTGAGTCACCAGCAAGCCGCTTTCCTTATGTCCATACTTGGGGTGATTGACATTATTGGCAATATCACGTTTGGATGGCTAACTGACAGAAGGTAAAATCCGCTGGGACCACAGCTGGGTCCCTACCAGGGGGCTCTGAGCTTTGAGTTCCCCTCATCCCCTTACCCTGTAGAAAATCTACTTCGGAGAGATGTTAACAAGTTTGCAGTACCTGAAAGCAACTCCCTTGCTGGTTCTTCTAGTCAGAGGTCGGCAAACTTTTTCTGTAAAAGGGATAGATAGTTAACATTTTTGGCTCTGTGGGTCATGTGATCACAGTCACTCAACTCCGCCGTTGTGGCACAAACCAGCTGTAGACAACATGCAGACTAATGCGAGTGGTTGTATGCCGGTCGGACTTTACTTATGGATACTGACATTTTAATTTCTCATATAACTTTTACATATCAAAATAATCTGGTTCTTTTGATTTTTTTCCAACCACTCAAAAATAGAAAACCATTCTTAGTTCACAGGTAGGGCAAAAAACAGGTGGTGGGCTGGATTTGGCCAGAGTTTGCCGACCTCTGTTCTAGATGGTTTAGGATGGTGGGTAGGTCTAAGCTGCAGAAACCTGTGGCAACTACAAGTTCTGGTGACAGATTTAATTCCACCCCAAGTCAAGTCAGTGCTCAGGCTGGGTGTTGTGGTTTTAGTTATTTTTTAATGACGGCAGAGACTGGCTGGCGATGGAGAGAGGAGCAGAATTCAGTCCAGGCAGGAAGATCAGGGGCAGTAATAGTACATTATCTGTAGGCACATATTTGTGTTTGACAAAACAAATAGCAAATACATTCATTATAATTTTAGGCTTAGAAATTACAGTTATCAGAAATCTACCAAGTAGTTTCTTCAGCTAATGCTTATTGTTAGGATTGAAGAGAGCAAGGTACTCATCTTCTCCTAAATGGACTCTTCACACTTGAGCTATGACCTGGGAGAGCAATCATCCTGTGGCTTCTTACATATTATGTCTTTGGTAATTAATCAGGGTTCCACTGCCATTCTCCAGTGCTATGAATATTTAAAATTAATTCCAAATATGCAATGGTTATGGAAAAGAGTGGAGAGCCGGGATATCTTTCTTGACAATCAACTCAATAAGAAGTAGCCCAGTGTAGGTTTGATAGCGGCATCTCTAGTCGGAGATATACAAGACCTAAGTACTTGTGCTGACTCTGCCCCTTATTATCCCTGTGACCTAGGGAAAATCACTAACCCTCAGATCCTTTAGGGCCTTCATCTGCAAAACAGGCCAGTGCCATATTTTTCTATTAACCTCTTAGCATTTTGTGAGACTCAAAGGAGATGGTAGGTTGAAAACTGTTTGTAAGGCATAAACTGCTGGTGCTGATATTATGCTGAGTCTTTGAAATAATGATGGTATCAATGCCATTTGCTATCAATGATGAGTTTGGAGCTATAGAGGGAAAGTGGAATGGAAGTACCACTGGGGAGGGCTCAAAATAAGACTTAGTCCTAGTACAAGACCTTCATAATCTCTGGCAAATCATTTTAATGTCTTCATATTCTAGCTTCTCCCTTTTATACCTGGGGGTTTTGAGCATATATGATGTACCAGATACCAGTGGATGACCTATCTGAAAGCATCTAATAGACTGCTAGAAAATGTTAGTCTCCTGATACTGTACATGTTATTTTATAACTATCCTTAGGGTAACCCTACAAGATAGGCAACATTCCCATTTTATAGCTAAAGAAATTGAGATTAGAGGTAAGCAGTTAGTAGGTGATAGAGCTGGATTCAAACTTCCATCTTTCTAACTTCAGAGCGTATATTATTTTCTGCCACACCATGTTTCCTGGGAAGATGACTTCTTGTGTTTTCATATACCAGAAGAAAGATAGGCAGACAACATAGATAATGCACCATGGGAAGCCTCTATAAGTAATAGCAATGCTTATTGCTTATTGTGGCCATGGTTCTAAAGCTCTTTGATAGAACCTGCGCATACTGCACTCATTCTTGATCTTCAAATCCACAGGTGCCTGAAGAATTACCGGTATGTCTGCTACCTCTTTGCCGTGGGACTAGATGGGCTCTGCTATCTCTGCCTCCCAATGCTTCAAAGTCTTCCCCTGCTCGTGCCTTTCTCTTGCACCTTTGGCTACTTCGATGGTGCCTATGTGACTCTGATTCCCGTAGTGACTGCAGAAATAGTGGGGACCACTTCTTTGTCCTCAGCGCTCGGTGTGGTATACTTCCTTCATGCAGTGCCGTACCTGGTGAGCCCACCCATCGCAGGTAGGTTTCCAGAGAGATCCCCCAATCACCGCTTCTGTTTTTCATACTGATGTGAAAACAGTGAACTCACACATAGACAATGAGGATTGGAAGTTAAATTGGGAAGAGTGAAAGAGAAAGGGATTCAAGAGCCATCAAAAAATCATGGTCTTACTTATATCCTTGTCTTACCATTTTCTTCCAGCCAATGGGGACCTTAGCCTGCTTGGAAAGAAAAAATCCAAAATTAGGGTCCTGATTCCATTCCACGCTAATGATGGGAGCAATGGAATGGAGCAGCTGTTCAAAACTTATAAATAAGTCAGGCACACACAGAGGGAAGTCTAGAGGGAGTACAGGATTCCACTTGGGGATAGTGGGCAGGGAGGCTGAAATGGTAAGTGAGTGTGTCATAGTCAGTGTCTTGAGTGCCAGCCAAAGGAGCCAAACGGGCCCTATATTCTTCAGAGACTATGGATAGTATTATAATTTTTGTGCAAAGGGGTAATATGGCAAAGAGTATATCTTAGAAAATGGGACCTAGCAATTGATCTGGTACTCTAGGGGAGAAGCAGTTAGGATTCCATTCTAATAGTTCAGGAGCAAACTGATAAAAGTCCTGAACTAGGGCCGCTGCAGCAAAATGGAAATGAACTCTGGGGGCAAAGAGGAGGTTTTGGAAAAAAATATCAACTGAATTTAGCATGTGGGGGTGAAGGAGGGGAAAACGCAAAGAAAACCTAGAAAATAATGGCATGGTTGGAAGAAATATGGAAGTTGGAAAAAGTGCCTTTGCCAGAAAAAATAATGAATTAAAAGTTTAGAAATGTTCAGATATCTGAAATACCCAATAAAATGTCCAACAGAGCTGTTTAAGGAGGCCGGATTTGGATTTAAAGATTTGGGGATCATCAGATAAAGCACCTAGAATGTTTTGTAAACTGTCAGATGCTATAGAAAATTGAAAGCGTGATTAAACAAGTAATTTGACAACCCTTTATTGTTTGTGTGCATCAACATTGCTTTTGGTGCTGCTATAGCAGCAGACAGGTCAGAGTCCCTCCCTCCTTCTTAGAGTATGTGGTCTAGACCAGTGTCTCTCAAAATGGAGGTCCTGGGACCCCCTGTGTCAAAACCCCCTGGGGCCCTTGTTACAAAATGCAGATTCCTTGATCTTTCCTTGTGATCTGAATCTTTCCAGGAATGTACATTCTGAACCAGCCTTCTTGTGGTGCTCATGCACACTAAAGATTGAGAATAATTGGTTCTTTTTTTTGTTTAAGATTTTCTTTATTTATTTGAGACAGAGTGCGCGAGCCCAAGAGCAGGGTGAAGGGCAGAGGGAGAAGCAGACTCCCCACTGAGCAGGGAACCCAATGCAGGGCTTGATCCCAGGACTCCTGGATCATGACCTGAGCCAAAGGCAGCCCCTTAACCGACTGAGCCACCCAGGTGCCCTGCCTAAACTAAACCAAGAGAGTGAAGGTCCCTGAAGATAGGCAAAAAAGAAATGAGCCAAACATTTGCTTAGAAGAAAGGAAGGGAATTTTTGAAGAAGGCAGGATTTCTTCTTTAGCTGATGTTGTAAATAAACAGTTTAGAATTATTTCCAAACCCTAGTGATTGCTAAAGCAGCAAACTAGGGGAAACTGTGGTTCCTTCATGGTTGTGGATAAAAAATCCTGGTCAGTTTAAATTCGGTAATATAGGACTACATGTTTAGTGCTTCATTTTGGAAAACTGCCCCCAAAACGTCCCCACATCCTTCCTCAATAGCCAATTTTTGTGTTTACCAACCTTTAGGAGCAGTATAATTCTCTAATTCTGTTAAAAAGTCATAGTGCATCAGTGAAATTGGGATTCCTGGATCTTTTTTCAATCCATGGTTTTACTTTGGCAAATCAGAGATTATACCTGTTGCCAGGCATTGGAGGATTAGGGTGTGAGGTTCTTACCATAATACTTCTCTTATTTAATTACCTTTAAAATGACAACTCTCTATTCAGTCTCTTCTGTTTGGTGCTACAGAAATGCATAAGTAAGTCACACAATAGCTAAAATATTTCAGAGTAGTTTGGATTGCAGGAAACTTTGTGAGGCTTATAACAATTTCTCCATACCGTTTTTCACTAATGAATTGAAGTGGGTGAAAGGAAAAATCATATACTTTTCCAGTGGATTTAAGTTTAGAGGAATTTTTTTAAAGGATTTATTTTATTTATTTGAGAGAGAGAGAGAGAGAGAGAAAGCAGGGGAGGGATAAGGGGACAGAATCTTCAAGCACACTCCTCACTGAGTGCAGAGCCTAATGTGGGGCTTGATCTCATGACCCTGAGATTGTGACCTAAGCCGAAACCAAGGGTCGGATGCTCAACCAACTGAGCCACCCAGGCACCCCAATTTAGAGGAGTTTTTAAAAAACTTTTTAATCCCAAAGTAATTGCCTGCCAAGGTCTAATTTGACCCCATTGATTTTCTGATCATTGTGGCCTATGTTTTGCATATCATATGCCCTGGTTCTCCTCAAAATTTAGAGCTGGAATAGTTATTGAGATTAATTTGTCGCAAGAAGAAATAAAGGGGGAAAAGGCCATGATTGCAAAATGATACCTAGTGAAGTTTACATTGGCAACTTCTACAATGGCCCAAAGTTCTGATTTTCAAACTGCAGTGGGTGCAACGACTGGTTCCAACTGAAAATTTGAATTCTGCTTTATCCAGAAGCATGTTATGTTACTCCAGATAGACAGTACATGGGTACTGGGAATACTAACATTCAGGACAATTATACTCTCTTGACAGCAGACATAAATGATCCCAACATCAGTACTTTGAAAGACACTATTTTATCTTTTCTACCACATTTGCTGGTATTGATAATAATATTTGTTGTGTGATTACTAAGAATGGGACACTCTTCCAAGTACTTTACAGAACAACAATCCATTTTAGTTTTCCTAGGAAACAGAATGCGTTTTTCAGTTGCTGCACAATATTTTTAGATCTGCTTTTTGTGTCAAAATTACAACGGTGGCTCTAGCAATCTATTGTTTATCAGCCTTAGAAATTATTAGATTTGGGAGTAGGTACGTAATTGGATTTTCCACTCAACAATGTAATTTTGCTGTTGCTTGTTACAGGACGGCTCGTCGACATGACTGGGAGCTACACTGCGGCATTTCTTCTCTGTGGATTTTCAATGATACTGAGTTCTGTGTTGCTTGGCTTCGCTAGACTTGTAAAGAAGATGAGAAAAACCCAGCTGCGGTTCCTTGCCAAAGAATCTGACCCTAAGCTGCAGCTATGGACCAATGGATCGGTGGCTTACTCTGTAGCAAGAGAGTTAGATCACAAAGATGAGCAATCCGTGGTTCTAACAGCACCTCGTTACAGCCCCACACGACCAATGGCTTGAGCCTGGGAACCTTCAGGGCTGAGAGAGGGGGGACCACTGGGTTGTACGTGTCTCGGAAGCGTTTAATTTTGACAGAAGCATTGCTTTCCAAAGAAATTATTCTTATTGTTTTATTAACATGTTTATAGGGGAAAATAGCAACAAAGCAAGCTGGACCAGCTCAGAGTTTCCTCATTTGGGATTTGTACTCACAATTGAACTATCTTTCAGGCAATGAGCATCACTCTATGGAGAATGTTAGGACACTGCTGCTATAATTAGCTGTAATTAGGGGTAATTACAAAGCATGACCAAAGCAGATGACATTGGGAAGCTTTGTTGCAAACTCTCTGCCCCTCCATCTCACTCCCTCAGTTAGAATGTAAACAGAAACAGTGACATGTAGATTTGCTTACTTTATGCTTTTTTGGAGAAAGGGGTCTGTATTAATCACTGCCTTTTGAGAAATCTAAAGCATTCTTCCACAACTCCATGTAAAACCCTAATGAGAAACTCCACTACGAGACAGGTTTGGCATCTTCACCTTCCACCTCCACGGAAAGCTTTCTTCCTAAGGCTGAGCCCCTCACCTCTGATCAGGCACTCACCTCTGTTACTATCACATATAATACTGAATTTAACCGAATACACCAAGTCACAAGTGTGATTTCTAAATCTTACCTGAAATGTTAACACCAACACTTCCTTCTCTCTCTCTCTCTCTCTTTTTTTTTTTTCATTAGAAACAAAGCTTTTATTTGAATTGTACACACATTCCTGCTAGGAACTGAAAAATGTTGGCAGTATTCCAACTGGGCAGGAATTGAATTCTTGAATCAGCAGGTCCTTGATGGGAGTTTTCTTTTCAGATCAGACATTTTGGTTCATCATTACCCAAAACAGAACTTGGGAGGTTAGCCTGAAAAATATTCTAAAGGTGAGATTCCTTTCTCCCTGTGTTAATTCTTGTTCCAATGTCCACTGCTCTTGACCTCTTTATGGATAATCATTAGAAACTTGATGGGCCTCTTCAGCTCAGTGAGAAGGCTTCAGGGGTTCAGCTCAGCATCAGAGCACTCTCATTAATTAGACCTTTGGTCAGGGGAGAGAGAAGAGAAGGTTAAGAAGGCTACTGGTGTGATACTTTACAGTTCATAGAACTCTTTCACATACCTACACCCATTGGATTAGAATAGTTTACTCATTCTCAAGTACTCTGTTTTCCTATAGTTTGGAATAATTTCTGACTTTCCAGAGGGAGAACACGGGAGAGAAGAGAAAGGCCAGATCCCCCAGCTTGTCTCCAACCACTTTAAATCCGCAGAATGATAGTGCTACATCCCCAAATCATGTCATACCTGTAAATTAGGAGCAATTACACAATTGAAAGGGGATTTTAACTATTGAAAAATTTTAAATCTGAACCTTAAAGAAATATTTTGACCCTGAAAGCCATTTAACCCACTGTCCCTCGAGAGGCCTCAAAAACACCAGCACTGAAGAAGATCCTGGGTTGACTAAGCATGTGTAGCAAGAGTCTTTGCCTATAACTGGATTATTTCATAAAGTTACATATTAATACATTGCTTTCAGAATGAAATACTGACTTGATTTAATGGAAGAAAGCTGTAGTATTTCATAGTTGTTTTCCAAAGATAAATTTGAATGTTGCCTGTTATCTTTTTACTTAAAGACTTTAGTTTAAACCCATTTACTTTGTCACTTGCAATTTTAAAACAATATTTTGGAAAATATCTGTAAAAAGTCAAAGTTAAAATGAACTTATGTGTGTTTGGAACAGCACTTTACACTGAATGCCATTTCTTGAATCTTCAAGCCTAAAGACTTTTTGAAATATAGTTATAAATATTCTTATACATATTTTTTCCTAGTGATCACAGTAAAATTTTGTTTATCCAGTTCTGCAATATAATTTCTCTAAAGTATTATAAGTATTCATGAAAAATGGGTATAGAAGCCAGAGCTTTTAAAAATTTATATAAAATATTTTGGATATTTTTACTGTATACATGCATAAATTTATATTTTACTTTCCCTTTTGGAGCAGCATTTTTAGAAAACCAGCAAGGAAAATGTAGATCTTAGAGTCTACCATTGTCAACTTCACAAAATTTTACTGTTAAGGTTCCAAGTGCCTATACTGTTTATTTCAAAAGGGAGGAATTTGTAAGAATGATGCATTTTGTGGAATCAAGAACAAAATTGTGGTGTGATGATTCTACACCTTAAATATTACTTTATATCACTGCAAGTTCTACTTTGAAATTGACTGACTAGAAAAGCAAAGAAACTAATTTCTATAGATACATTATACCATTGGGCCTGTTTTTCAGATTGTGATTTTACTAATAGATCAGATATTTATGCTAATATTTTCTTATTTCAAAAGCTTTATAATAAAGTGAGTTTATATTTGTGTTTGGAAAAATGTTTTTCCCTGTACAGGGGGTTTGGATTGAATGGTGAGTGGGCTTGTCTGAATTATGCTAAAATGTAGCTAGCATACAAAGATGTGGTAAACAGGGGTGCCTGGGTGGCTCAGATGGTTAAGCATCTGCCTTCGGCTCAGGTCATGATCTCCAGGTCCTGGGATCGAGCCCCGCATTGAGCTCCCTGCTCCACGGAGAGTCTGCTTCTCCCTCTCCCTCTGCTTCTCCCCCTGCTTGTCTCTCTCTCTCTCTCTGTCAAATGAATAAATAAAATCTTAAAAAAAAAAAAAAAGATGTGGTAAACAATCAAATAATTTACAAAAGCCAAACCCATTCATTGAATACTTCCAATGTATCAGCTACTGTGCTAAGCACTTCCTATGCATTGTCTTATTTAATTCCCATAATAACCTATATTATCACCATTTGATAGATGTGGAAACTGGGGCACCAGGTGGTCACTGCCTTCCTCTGGCTCCAGTGAAATCCTGTAAAGCTAGGAAGGTGTCTGATGCTGGAACCTGCCTCCTTCCCTTTGTGCCTACTTGGGTTTTCTTCTTATGTGGGTTCAAAAAGCCATTTGGAAACAGGCCCTCCTTTGGGAAGATAAAATCCTTTGGATTATGATTCACTCTCCCAATTCGTGTAGATGGAAAGATTCTAGAATGGAGATTTCCAGGAATTTTCCCAAGAGTCTGGTCCTATCAAGGCCACTACTTCCAGGCTAAGTGATTTAATTTGCTGTTTATTGATCCAGGCCTCTCTTTGGGAGCATTTATGTATGTGTTAGCAGAGAGAAGGTTGGGAAGCATACTTTGTCCCAAAAGAGAGTTCTATCTTCTGCATTACCAGAATCATGTTTTCTCAGTCAGGAGTTGAATTCTTTCTTAAGTGCCTGCACCATTGCCCAGTCATGACGAAGATGGTAATGTCTATCTGGTACTCACCTTCCTGGTCTCAATGGGTCTAATTCTGAAATTGTTTATTGAACTGAAGTAGTGTGAACTCAAGGTAGATATCTGTGTTTCTCTTCTCATACTTTAAAGTTCGAGTCTTTATTTTTTTCTAACTCCACCAAACAATAGATGTTTAAAGATTTTTTTAAAGGATTTTATGTATTTATTTAAGAGAGAGCAAGCACGAGTGGGGAGGGGGGCAAAGGGAGAAGGAGAAGCAGACTCTCCGCTGAGCATGGAGGCCAATGCGGGGCTGGATCCCAGGACCCCGGGATCACGACCTGAGCTGAAGGCAGACGCTTAACCAACTGAGTCCCCAGGTGCCCCAAACAATAGATTTTTATACCTGTTGCCAGAGCAGCTTCCAGTGAGACATGACTGGGGTTTTGTCCCATAACACAGAGAAATATTTGGTAGAGGGATCTGGAAATACCAAATCACAGTAAAAAGACTGACATTTAAAATAAAACATTTTATTATGGAACTTTTCAAACATGTACAAAAATAGAACAGTAAAATGAACTTGACATAATCATCCCATAGCATCTACAATTATCTGCCCTTTACCCTCCCCCATGATGAAGCTGTTTGAAATATATGAACATGCTGACAGGACAGGTCTTCCTTCAGCTGTCAAGGAATAACTGAACCTGGCAAGAATAATTTATTCATGCAAGCAGAGGGTATGGGTGGTTGGTATCACCTGTTAATGAACCACATCATTACGAAGCTGATTGGGTCCCCTTTCTTTCTGTGGACTTTGGGTGTCTGAATTACAGGTTAAAACTCTTCTTCCTTCTCTCCCTAGCCCTGATGTGATCTATCTTCCTGTAGCTTAAGGAGGTGTCAAATAACTGAAAAGTGCTTTTGAATTTTGGAAAAGAGTGATGATTATTACATTCATTATTATTCTTAATTATTTAAGCATCAGAGGCCTCTTTGAGGAGTCTAGATGTAGGGCTGATCTAAAATTAAATAAAAAGCATTTTATTTTTAAGGAGTTAATGTGTGATCAACTTAAGATTTGAATTGACATTTAAAAGCATTAAAGTTAACATTTTAAAATACGATCCTTTCAGTTTTCCCATAAAATTGTTTCTTTTGTGATGGAAAGTTAGGTTTTTGTCACTGACACAATGATGGAAGAATTAGAGGCCCCAGTCCTAGCAATGGTGAAGACATATTCACATTCCCAGACAGCTTGTTTCTACAACTGGGTCCTGAGCAGAGTCTGGGTGTGCTTCAGGGTGGGGAAGAAGATATGAATGAAGGAAAGGGATATGTGGTTACCTGAGATTCCAGCAGACTCTGAAAGCCTCTGGGTCTAAATTTGCCAATCCCTGCTCAAGCGGAGGGAAAAATTTGGACATCTGACTCTAGTTTCAAAGTTCAACAGGGGAGAGGAGAGCCTATTTTAGAATCACAAGTTACAGGTCTGGAGTGAGCATTCGGTGCTGGAATATGGTCTACAAGGTCCAGCAGGGTGTAGCCCCTGCCTAACTTCCAAACCTCATGTTGGGCTGCACCCCTGCGGCTCGCTGTACTGCAGTGCCCTTCTCTATAGGTTCCCCAGGTCATTTTGCGTATGCTGATCCTTCAGTGTGCTCATTTCTCAGCCTTTGGGGCACAGTTTAAAGGTCACTTTCTAGGGGCGCCTGGGTGGCTCAGTCGTTGAGCGTCTGCCTTCGGCTCAGGTCGTGATCCCGGGGTCCTGGGATCGAGCCCCGCGTCGGGCTCCCTGCTCGGCGGG